TCTTCCACAGCCTCCTGCTCTCTGCAAAGGGAAAATCCGTAGGCGAGAAGGCGTGGTGCGCCATGCCCGCCGTGCCCCGACACTCTTCCAGGGCCAGGGCGTGTTGGCTAATGGGTATCATTTCAGCCCTTTCATTTCCAATAGACACTGTGCTGTCATAAAGACTGTCATTACCCACCGCTCACGCAGATAATCAACGTGCAGGCTGCCCGGATGGCTGGGACGGCAGTATCTGGCGCGTCTGCAAGGATAAAACCATCCTCCCACTCTCTGCCGTCCGAGTCCTTTCCCGACCGGCACAGCCCTCATGTCAGAGGCACTGGCCTGGGTCCCCACGAAGCCCCAGCTCACCGCACGCCTCGCCAGCCTGGGGAAGAGCTGTCTGCTCTCAGCCCAGCTTTGCCATTTCGTAGCCACCTAACCTTGGGCATGCCTTTTCTTTCCTAGAGTCTCAGTTTTCCCATCTGTAAAATGGCGACATTAATGCCCACCTGGCAAGGTGACAGGTGAGATGACAAATTGTGAACACCTCCTATGCGGTTGGTGGTTAGGCAACGGTAGCTACGATCGAGATGGTACTGGAGGCATTAACAATGTTTGTCACATTTTGCAAATAAGGAAACAGGTGGAAAAGAGAGTGGGCTTCACACAGCAACTCAGTGACCGAGCCGCGCCTAGAACTCAGGTCTCTAGGTCAGGGTTTGTACGTGGACTCATAGGCTCATGGCAATGATGTCACTGACTCCTTCCTGTGCTCTGGGCACTGCCGACAGCATTTCATCTCAGCCTCACACTGAGTGGCTGAAGTAGGTGTTACTATTACCTTTCTGTACAGGTAAGAAGGAAGGCCCAGCTCAGCGGTGTGGGGTGACTTGCTCAGACTCAGGCAGCTGGTGGGTGGTGGAGCCCTGGTTTAGAGGGTCAGTCCTCTGTGCAGATCAGCTTCAGGGCATAGAGATCAAGCCCTCAGCTCTCCCACACATGTGCACATGCACACATGCACACACACGTACTCACACACATACAATCACACACAGAGACCTTTGAGCATTAGGCTTGGCACAGGCTGGGCTACTGTCTCTCCTAACCTGATGAGCTGTCCCAGCTTGGGCCCGTCTGCCCAACGTCCTACCAGCTGCGCCCCCAAGGCTCTGCCCATGGTCCTGCAGTACCCTCCGTGAGCATGTAGCCTGTACTCAGGCCTCCCAGACAGGCACACTGAGACCCAGGCAGTTTATGAGGTGCTCACAAAGGAGACAGGCTGGGGTGCCCAGCTCGGAGACTGAGAGCAAGGATGTGGGTGGGAGGGGAAGGGGTAGGGGCCGCTGCTCCAAACACCCCAGGTAGACTCAAGACTGACCGACTCTGGCAGACCTTCCTAATGAATCACGTTCCTACGTCCTCACAGCAAGATAGGAACAGCAGTGCCATTTTGCAGATGGAAAAATCAGGGTTCACAGAATCAAAGCGATTGTTTGCCTAGGATCACACAGTCAGCGGAAGTGCTCAGACTCGAACCCAGTTCCTAGTGTCCAGATCACGCTCTCCCTTGCGTAAATCAGTTTTCGCTCTGTTGGTTCTTTTCTGTCTCATTTTTCCTTCAGGTCACCAACTCCTCTGCCCCCCTGGTCCTGCTCTATCACACGAGCAACACCTCAGAGTCAGACATCTCATCGCCCTGTGTACCGCTAGGTGCCGAGCCGTCACCACTAGACGCACGTGGAAGCCATGGGTGTTTGCTGGGTTGTTGAATGCACTGTAATTGGGCTACAATCTTGTACCCTAACGCCGGTGGGCGGCCTGCTCAGTCTGGAGATTTTTGTTCCTGTGGAAGGACACACTTGAGTAATCATTATGCAAATACAAAGGTGAGAAGGGGAAAGTGGTGTATTATAAGTTGTTTATTTTTCATTAGCAAGATTGTTCCACTTTGGGGAATCAAGTGGAGCTCTGAAGAAGAGTGGCTCATTTGCATAGTAATCCTGGAGGTCTTCTCCCAGGGGAGAGCTGGACACCCAACCCCTGTGCCCTGTGAGGTGAACTTGGAAAGATCTGGGAGGCCCGGAGTAGCTCGGAGTAGACTGGCTGGCTCGGAGTGAAGTGCAAAGGCAGGAGACGGTACAGAAGCTCCACAGAGAACTCGTCTGGAGGGCGAGGAGGGGCTGGCGATCTGAGCCCAACATCAGGGCCAGGACAGAGACGCGGGACTTCAATCGACTTTGCAGTCAAGGATCACAAGACAGTTAAGGGAAGACTTCAACATGAAAGAGAGATGGCAGTTCTTCGCCTCCAGCCTCACTCCCGAGCACAGTGTGGGCCCACCCGAGGTTCATGCGGGCAGCTGGCCCAGCGGGGCATCGTCATCCCGTGGGCAAGCATTCACCAGGGTGTGTAGGACCAGTCTCCCACAGCGACCTGGTGTGGCTGGGGCCGAAGTGACAGCACTTGATGGGGTTTCAACTCCCTTTTTCTGTTCATGGAATCTGGAGGCAGAGCTGACCTGCGTTAGATGAACTCTTCGGGTTTCCTGGGTCAGTTCAGGAGCCTGGAGGAGACTGGATGGACAGTGGACTTCCTGCTAACGAGAGCTTGAGCCGAACAACTAGGTGAAAACCAGCAGGTACCCTGACTCACACCCCAAGTTGGTAAAGCACTCACACGAGTTACAGCGTGGGTGTGTTTTAGCCACACTCTGCCACCGGGGACCACAACCATCCAGTGACAAGTTCACACGGGGGAGTTCTCTTCTACAGCAGGATGTCTCTAAAGTTATAACGATTGCACACATGCACGGCACGCTGTGGCCTTTCACACACTCCTCTGAGCCTTGCACCAGTCCTGAGGGCTGGCAGGACAGAGTGGTTGTCCCCCGGAAACCAAGACTCAGAGAGGGACGTGGTTTGCTCAGGGTCACCAACAAGTCGGCAAGATCCCATCCCACCCATCTCGGGGTCCCTGAGCTGCCTCCCTGGGACGCCAGCAGCTGGGTCCCTGCCCTGCCCTCTCACAGCAGCATCAAGACCACGATGGCGATGACCATGAGCACTCCGGCCAGGATGCAAAGGCCCAGGAAGACGATGTCGCTGGTGTCCTGGGGGACCACAGTCACCGGACCCTCCAGGGCCTCTACCTCGTCCCGGGGTGGCGCTTCCTGAAGGTGTTCGGCAGTGGCAGCGTAGGGCCCAAGCCAGCCGGCGGCCGCAC